ATCAAATTATTACCCATAGCCACAAAAGCTGCCGCAGCATGAAAGAATGTCAGTGTCAGAAAGATGAACCTGAATTCTGATAAGTCATCCTCAAATGGCATAGAAAACTCAACCGCTTGATATCGTGTACCTTTATTCTGCCCTTAGAATGTATGCACGTCCTGTCTGTCATCGTTTCTGCAGCTGAAACTGCCCAACATGATCCTGTAAGATAGCCTTGCTCAGCGTTTAGGAAAAGCAGAATATGTGTGTATAGTTCCAAGATTCCTACCGCATCTGGTTTGATCACGTATTGTTCCTATGAGATGAGCACATTCAGGCCATTTTTCTCGTGCATCAAATCTGGAGAAGTAGCACTTGGTTTCGATTTCAAAAATTTCAGTTCCATTTTTTCAGATTCGTAAGGAAGCAAAAGAAGGAATTTTTTGAAACTTATTTGAAATTTAACAAGCCCAAAGCTGTCGCATTCGCTATTTTCTATTGTTTGCATTCCTGCCTTAGTACAAGAAATGCTTTTTGGATAAATACAGTCTTTGTTGCGGGAACATCATGAAAGACTAACTCCTCAGGTATGGGTTCATCACCAATATCCAGTTCTACACGCTCCTCTGCACTAGGAGAAACCAAATACTTCGGATCCATCAAATATTCCATGCGCTCATCAGCTTCTTTGGATTCTTTTACCTAAAATACTAACTCAATATTCTCAGCATAAATTACATTGCTGCCTCACACACCTGGAACAAGTTCTGGTTGCGCAGGTAAGTTATGAGGTCCTCCCCATCGAGCTTTTCTGCCTGTTCCAAAGGTAGTCTCACTGCAGTATGTGTGTATTGATACAAAGTCTTTCAGCCATCCACACCTACCGGTGAGATCCAACTTCGCCGCGCAAACCGCTATCAAACTTAGAAGCAGTAACATTGGATGCTATAACAAGGTATGTACATTACATTACATTTACACTACGGTCTGGACAGACAGCACTACTTATCACTTATACTAATAAGCCGAAGAGAGTTGTCATTTTCAAAAACGAAGCATGGAATAAAAGTTTTGTTTTCCCTTCCATATTTTCTGTCTGTTTGTGATATGAGCAAAGCTGTGTGCTCGCTGTATCGTTAAAGATGTGCTGCTTCCGAAAATTAGCAGAAAAAGTGTGAAATCGCAAAACGCGCATTATCTCTGCACCAACCTAATATAACAAACTATCCAATTGCTTTCAGTGTGTAATATGACCCAAAGAAATCTGCAGTAAAAAAAGCTCCAAAAGCTCTGTGCGAAAGGCATTATTTTACAAGGCAAAACAAGCTCCGCAAAGATACTCGCAAAATCTATAAGAAACTAAGAAACTTTGAAAAAAGAGATTTTGATTTAGTGGCGTCCTTGATGACGACTTGTAGGAAACATGAAGACAAGGTAGCATCGGTAGCGGCATGTGGCTGTGCAAAAAATGATGACATTTACAACGCTTTTTTGGGGTTCTCTTATCATTTCCCCAAAAGCTTGACATCACATTCACAATGGCAACTCAAGGAAGCTCTGTGAAACAATTTCATTCTGTTCTAACAAGCATCAGATTGAAAGGATAAAGAATAAAAGATACCGCATTTTCAATACCCTCTGCGGGCATGCGCCGAACGCACAAAGACACAGTTGTATGCTGCGAGCCTATTTCAGTGACCTGCGGGGGCCAGCCGTTTTCCAAGTCAGTGCTTTTATCCTCCCAGATGACTCTGGTACCAATTTACCAGCCCCAGA